TCTGGCACTGTGATCGGTGTTTGGGTAAGGGTAGCATTTAGGAAGCTAGGAGGTGGCGGGGGTAGTGCCTTCCCAATCATCCAAGCATGATACATGTCTGTCGTGTGTTGTCTTAACATCTTTACCTCTTCAACCAACCCATTGTCCTGTTCAACCAACTGTTTTCGGGCACCGGTATCAACCAACTCAGTTCTGTTGTTGTCTGTCATTGCCTCTTGACTTTGTGTTGTAGAGAAGAGTTACCACTTTAAAAACAACAAACCAACCACCTTTCTGCTATGAATATAACAAAATGAAGCCATCACATTAGCGTTAGGGCATTTAACATAAGATATTCTCACTTTATGTGCGATGCACCTAGCCACAGTTATCGGTTCTAAAATGACTTCGAGGGTACAAAGGTCAATTGGCATCATCTCAATTTGTTCATTTCAACTTCTCTTTTCTTTGTTTTTCTGGTACTTGCTGGCTTGCCCATTTTCCTTCATTTCTCTTTCTTTTTTTTCCTTTTTTTTTCATCACTCTTTCTTTCTCTCATATCTCATATCCCACAATTTCGCCTCTTTTTTTTCGTTTCCCCTTCTTTTTTTTTCTTTTAATAATAATAACAAAATGATTCGATCGAACCCTATGTAGGTTGCCTACGTATCATGACGCTGCATGAATCAGATCTTTGCGTAGTTCTGGAAGATCGAGAATAAAGTAAACAAACTAACATTTTCTTTTTCATTTTCTTCTTCTTTTTTCCTTTTTACCTTAGTGACTAATCCGATGGGAAAAGAGAAATAAAAGAAGCAAATTTCTTTTTTTTGAATTTTCTGGACTGAATGCTCTATAACCTATTCTAAACTCAAGTTTAACGGACATGTTTTTCTTTTCTTTTTTCCTTTTGAAACAAATACTCTATTAAGAAAAATCCTACAAGAGAAAAATATTTTTATTTTTACATTTTTTTTCTCTTTTTCTTTTTTAGGAAGAAAATCTAAAGAATAAACCATAAAAAAAATTGAATTTTTATTTGATATCCTGATGCAAGATTTCGACACAAGCAATGAAAAAGATAAAACAAAATGTTTTTTAATTTCAATTTTGATTGCCTAAAGAAGAAATTCTAATGATAAACAAAAGATAAAGTATATTTTTTATATGTACAATATCCTAAAGTTCTAATGAAAATAAAAGATTCTTTTTTTATTTTTCACTAATTTCCCAAAAACACCTCAAAAGAAAATCATTTTGGATTTTAGAATTAACACCTTAAAGAAAACTTTTAAAGTACTAAAAGAAAATTCTCTTTTTCTTTTGAATTTTGGTCCTAATATACTAAAGGAAACATAAAAATAATTCATTTTAAGTCCTAGATATTAATGGCCTAAAGGAAAAATAACCTCAAAATTTTTTCTTTTTTCCATTTCTAGAATTAGTAATCTAAATAAAATTTATAACGGAAATATAAAATGCAACATCTCTTTTTTTTTTTGGATTTTTGACTTGTAACACATTTCCAAATACAATAACAAAACACTCGGCAAATTTAACTAGACTATTACAAACTCAAAAATTAACTAAATGACTGAATAGTACTGTACAAGACTAGAAAGTAAAACATGAACAAAAGACTCTAAAACATAAAAAAAAACTCCTCAGGCAACTCCCGAATGTAGTGATCCCGGGGTATCTGTCATGTTCAAACTCCGGTAAATAAATCCACACCTGTATGAGAAAATTAAAACCAAATAGGTTAAAGGCCTAGAACGCTATGTGAGACAAAACCTCTTTCTGTTGAAAACATGCAAGACATGATGTAGGCTATTTTTTGCAAAATGGCTTATTTAGCCAAAAGATGGCTAGAAGTGCAAAGTTTGGCTAAGACCCCGCAAAGCCAAGAATCTAAGATTTACTAGGAAGACCGGACCCTATATGGGTTGCCTACGTATCACGCCCCGAAAGACGAGAATCAGGTATGCGTAGTTCGGGCAGATTGGATACGGGCGAGAATAATAAAACAACTGACATATAGAAAACACATTTTTTCCTTTTTTTTTCAAACAATGATGAAACATATAAAATCTTTTTGGATTTTCTTTTCTCTTTTTTTTTTATTTTATTTTTGGAAAATGATAAAAGTGCAAAATCTTTTCAATTTTCAAGCTCTTTTTTTTAACAAAAATGTAACAGAAAACATAATTGGGCCTTACTCTCTTTATCCTCACACTTCACCCTTTCTTTTTTTCCTTTTATTTTTCTTCATTTTTTTTCATTCGCCCTCAATTATCATTGGTCCGCCAAATGACCCTTTTACCCTTGGAGGAATGCAACATGTAGCACACAGGATGCATCAAGATGGTCTGTTATTTTGGGTACACCTGTCCTGGACGAACCTAATCCCTGTGTTGAGTCCCCTAAGTCAAATGCACGTGATGCAAACAAACATTCCTACTAGGGATCCGGCATGAGGTTGTGTTCTTCTAGGTTTAAATCCTGGGGTTTTGTTCTAGACTTAGGGTACCCGAGCGGACAACTGGGGCCGAAGAAGGGGCGACGTACCGGGAGCACTGAAGTCTACTCGGCCTTGTCGCTTGCCCCGCCTCATTTTTTTGGTATAATTTCTACAGAAAAAGCGGGCTACGCGAACGTATGCACCATTTTCAGAAGACTCAGAGGGGCGGCGTAAGAAGACAGTTATATACGATTCAAACAATATTCAAGCGGTAAACATATAGCATTTAGCGCAAAAGGTTCACAGAATACAGTAATATCAACAATAAATAAAACCAAGCAAAATCATATTAACAAGCTCGAATTCTTGAACCCCGAACCAGAGATTCTGGGTTCGAGTCCCCAGCAGAGTCGCCAGAGCTGTCACACCTCCTTTAGCTTACACCCCTGGAAGGGTATAAATATAAGGGAGTTTTTCCAATTAAAGGACAATCGAAACGGGATTATATTAAGAAATTCAGAGCCACTTGGGATAATTTATAGTGTCCCAAGTCACCGATTTAGAATCCCGAATCGAGGAAAGATTGACTCTATTTAACAGTTCGCGAACCAAAAATTCGGGTAAGGAATTCTGTTAACCTGAGAGAAGGTATTAGGCACTCCCGAGTTCCGTGGTTCTAGCACGGTCGCTTTGATTATACTTGGCTTAACTAAATTGTTTAATTACTGATCTTAGAACCTATATGCATTTACTTATTAACCGCTTTTAAATCAAGAAAATTATCTTGAAACGGGTCACGCGTACATGTACCCCTTTGTTTGGCGTGTCAAAAATCATGTCACGCGAACGTGTCCACAATTAATAACGCATTATTATTATTAAGAGAATTTGGTTGAAGTTGCGCGAACGCATACTTCGGTTTTATTTTCAAAATCGTAATTATGTCACGCGAACGTGTACACAATCACAGTTATAGATTAAATCGAGCCTAAAGCAATCTACGAACATTCATTTTGGAAACCGTAATCATGTCACGCGAACGTGTACATAATCACGATAATAAATTCAAAACTTGCCTAAAGGTTCACCTACGTATGTGTGGCCGGCCTAATCGTGCTCCGATCGATCCGAACAATTAAAAGAGAAATGGAACAAGAACAGCAGAGACTTTCTTAAGTTTAAATTCTTCCTTATATTTATCTAAGACCCAAATTCCCCTAACATTACACTAAACTAAAGTTTAAAGCTAGGATCTAATTCATGGTTACTAATTTAATAGGATTAGACTTTGTTTCTGCTTTTCTTTGCAGGTAATAATCGAAACATCCTTTTATCCCTTGGATAAAAATACTGATGATATGAATGTTACCAACCCCTTTTCCCCTCTATGAAACAGAGGCAATCCAATAATTTTAAATTGGTGAGCGTGATTAGCGCTGCAGCCGCTACTAAAAGCTTTTTTTAAAATGTAAATCTAATTAAGTACTAGAAATCTCTCTGTGAACCTATATATATAGCATATGATTCATATATCGTGGTGCATTCACAATATTATTATAAAAGGATCATGGTTTATTTCAGCAGCAATGAGGAGAAAACTATTAAAAAGAACATACACAGAATTTCTTTACCGAACTAGTCCAATTCTGATTAGAACAAACATATGCAAAGATCACTAGGAAAATCACAAACATATTAGCACAAACGTTTCCTCCTCAATTCAATAACTTCATAACCAACAGTAGTCTACACAAAAATTGCATTCCAGCAGCATATAAGAATTAATATGAAACAAAATTAAAAGAGAAGAAGAAATTGACCTCTGTTATCTCAGTAAAACTCGACTATGCCACATGACCGAAGAATAGAACCTCAAACACATACCGGCGACAACCCCGAACAAACCCGTCAACCAAAGACCACGCCGGAAAACTCGACCTCGGTGACTCGAACTCATAAACGACCCCAAAACTTCAGCTGCCTTATGCTCGCTCCCTCACTCCGTTCATGTGCGTGACTGTGTGCGTGCGAAGGTGAAGCTCGCCGGATATGGCATTTTTTCGGCCAGATCTGTCACCAAACTGTTAGCGATGGCATAGGGTGAGGAAGAACGAAGGATGAGGTCGTTTTGACCATGGATGGAAGCCGGAGCTTCTGTTTCAATCCCTTTCCCGCCCTGTTGTTTTCGTGTATGTCTGTGTGTTCGAATGGTATAGCCAAGATGAAGCTCGGGGTAGTCGTTTGTGGACTGGTTTCCGGCGAGGGGTCGCAAGATGGAGAAGCAGCAGCAGCTCCTTGTTATGGTGTTGCTGTTGACGAAAAGCAGTGGAGAGAGGGGTGATTGGAGGAGACAGATGCGAGGGGGTGGGGGTCGTTCTCTGGTGTCGAGTTTCTAAAGAAGACGATGCGCAGCTTCTGCGTCTTTGTTGCCTTCAAC